GGCACAACTATGATAACCAGGGCTGGAGGTAAAGAAAAATCACAGAAGGGAACCTGCAGAGCCCAATCTGTTCGTGCCCACAAGGGCTGCGAGGTGCACGGGTTGAGTTTATCACTTTCATCACCAAAAAAGACGGGCTCTCTAATCCTGCAGGAAAAGCCTAACAAGAACAAACGGCTGGAAGGTGAAGCCAGGGAAATTTGTATTAGGGAATGAGGGGCGTGATTTTTAAAGGCTGGGGCTGACGAGCCCTTGGAAGGGATTATTAAAAGCAGCGTTGCCTTTGCCGATGTTTTCAGATAAATGGTGAATACTTTTCTGGCCGCTATCCCTGGGCCAAATACACTTCATTAGGCTTTATTGGTGTGCCTGGATCTGATCCATCAAGGAGTTCCATCCTTTACACAGTTGTTTATGACACCGAGTATCGCGCACCGACACGGGCAGGACGGGGGGTTTTGTTTCATTTTGAAGGTAATACAAGTGCAGGGCAGGACAGGGAGTTTTGTTTCATTTTGAAGGTAATACAAATGCATTATCTGACCACTGCCTTTGGGACTGGTAAGGCTGAAGGGGTTAATCGCCTCAGTGACACAGGAATCATTTTGAGTGTTGGCCAGGCAAACAGGCTGGGTTAGAAGAATGAACTATCAAAAACTGTCAGGGCATGAATAGAGTTATCATATGAATGGATGTGCCCCTGGAGATAAAGGCAGCACCGAAGACTGCCAGCGAGGCCAGCAGGGACAGGCAGAACACAGGACCCGAGCAGAACAAAGAGCGGAGGTGGCGGGATGTCTCCAGAACACCAGCGCTCCCCGAGCCCTGCCGCCGGCACCCAGCACTGACCTGCCATGTGTGGGATGAGCTTCCACCCTTCCTGAGCATCTTTGGGGCTGGGGTTCGCTGCTGGCTTGTTGAGGTTTTTTTTGAGCAAAATATTTTGCTAACCGCCTTTCAGCAATCGAAAAAATAAGGAATTCTTTCCTCTCCAAAGCAATTCATCAGGTTTTCAGTTGTACTTAAATTTGGCTTCATCAGATCCATTTCCACCATCACCAAAATGGGTGCTCGTTTATTGTCACTGGAAACAACCCCTTGCAATTTCAGGAAACGAGAATTCAAGGAGAATGAAAAACCTGCCAAAGTAGGGGTGTTTCGTACACAGGTGTGTTATTTTTCTGCAAATTTTAGAGGTTGATTTTCCAGAAGTTTTATGAGCTATTAATACAAGAGGGACAGAAATGAAGATGGTACCAGAAACATATCCCCGTAAGCCTACCTAAAATTACGCAAATATTTGCTTTATATCAGCATTTTGGGAGCAATCAAAAAATTAAACACCCCCAGATTTTTTTTTCACTAATGTAGCCTAAACCAGCTCCCTGTTTTAAACCAATGCTTCTCCATCCCCCATCATCAAAAGTCCATAAGCTTAAACACTCTTTCTTGTTTCCTATCCTCAGAGAGGAGCACAGACCCCCACAGCCTTTTTAAAACGGAAAAGGCGATTTCCTCTCCCTTTCAATGTCTTGCTTTTCCCGCAGCCCCGACTTCGGCATTGCTGCAGAGAAGTAGGAAAGAAGCATTGAATAAACATGCAGATGAGTTTTTACCTTTTTTTCTGTTTGAGCAGAGGGGCAATTAATGAGATTACAATGAGAGATTAGCGGGGGAGACCCCCATGAACCCTTCCTGTGGCCCCCGTTTCAGCAGCGCAGCGAGCGGCTGGGTTTTCCCAAGGATTCTGGTGCCTTCCCGCACCCCATCCCTGTTGAGTGGAGGAACAAAACCCCATCACTGTGGGACAAGGAAAAGATGAGCATCCCCTCCTCGGCTCAGCATCCTCCCCTGCACATCACCCCATCCCCATCACCTGCTGTTTGCCTCAGCCAGCGCGATGTGCCCCAAAAAGCTGGGGAAATGTCCCCAAATCCCCCTCCCCTGCTTCACCAGGTCCCCACATGGAGCTCTCCAAGCTCTCCCGCGGGCCACGGGGTCCATGTTGTGATGGGGAGGAAGGTCACCCGTCTCACGGACGGAGGGCAGAGCTGAGCTGGGGGCACCACCTGGGACGGAGTAAACCCCCAGCAGCAGCATTTGAAGTGCCATTTTTTGACAGAAAATACAATTTTGTTACCCCCCACGCAAGTTCCAAATGTGGTGATTTCTGCTTGTCTGATTTTCTTTCAATTTAACGAAGATATTTTGTATTTTATTGTTTAACTTCAATTTGTGCTATAATATAAAATACCTGCTTTAATATTTTCACCTATGCAACTCAGTCTGCAATAGTGTAAATATTTTTAGTCTCTCATACTTCATATTATTGAAATATCTTATATTGAACTTTCATATATATTGAGAATAATTTTTCTACCTCCCTGCTCTAAAGCAATTTAATAATTTCAGACAATTCTTTTTTCAGTACTCCAAATAAAAATCTTCCACATCCTGCAAATTTTTACCCCCCTTTAAAAAAAATCTGAGTTTTGGCTTTCAATGCATTTCGCAATGGCTGCCGTGCTGAAATGGGGGATTTCCCATGGAATAGCGATTCCCTTTTCCTCTTATTTCTCGGACACGCCTGTACACAAGGCTGAAAGGAATAAAAAATATAAGCTTAAAACTTCTTGGAACAAATATTTCAGGAAAGAGAAAGGCACTGGGAGCTCTTGGAAAGAAAAAAAAATTGGGTTGAAGCTGTTTTTTTAAACAGGTTAATACATGTTTTTATGCACCAACTGCCTCCCAATACATGCATGCAGAGTGTAGCACACCGTGGCCTGAAATTTGCTTTGTGGTTGTAATTTTCTACCTTGTGGTTCCCAAACCAGCCCTGGGTTTGCTCGGCAGCACAGCCAGGAATGCAGGGCACGGAGAGGCTGTGGGAGCAGGCAGAGCTGATGGGCAAACAGGCTACACCCTCACGCCGTGCCCGTAGCCGCCACACGCTCTGGGACGGGGCAGCCAAGCCTGGCACAGTTGGAGGGTGGCATGCACCAAGGCTGGGCTCTGCTCTGCAGCATCTCCCACATTTCCAGTCCCATCCCACGCCAGGGTGCTCAACGACCGCCACCACAGCCGATCCCGCGCGGGCGCTGCTCCCAGCCCAGCCCAGCCCAGCCCAGCCGCACTGGGGACCGGCAGAGCCACGGCCACATCCCAGCTCCAGTGCTCGTGTTGCGGACCTGGCTGGCACTGTGTGCTCCATGCCAGGGCACAGCAGGGCCCCAGGATCCGCGGGGCCATGAGCATCATCGCCGTGGTGGATGGAGCACCACCAGCTTTCTGCAGGCTCCCACACCTTTTCTTGATGCCATTCAGTGCCTCCTGTCTGGTCTAATTGAGATCCAGACTGCTCGGTCTGCCCCAGAGCCCAGCACATCCCCAGCCCTGTGCAACCTCCTGAGCAAGGCTGTGATTGAGGATAGCTTTCTTTTCCAACAAATCTTGTGGGAAAGCCAGGTCTGTCCCAGCTGGCAACAGGCAGACAGCAGTGCAGGGCCTGGCCGTCCATGCAGACACCACAAAGCATCCAGGATCTCCTCCTTAGAGTAGAGCACGGAGGCCCTTGCCTCACTTGTCAGAGCCCAGCATGCACCACGTCTGGGCAGGGCTGTTTGGCTTTGCAGGGCTGCAGCACTGAGAGCCTGGCGCTGCACAGGCAGCATCCTGCAGCACTCCCTGCCCGGGACATGGGGCTGAGGGCAGCTGCTGCATCCCAGAGCAAAGACCAAGCAAGGGCTGGGAGTGTCGGGGTGCTGGGGCCCCATTCTGCACTGTCACAGCCCATCCCCAGCAGTGAGACCCCAATGCATCCCCCTGTGTGGGCAGCAAAGCAGATGGGAAAAGGAGCAGGAAGAAGGCCAGGAAGTAGGCATTTGGCAGAAAACGGAGCTAGGACCAGCAAATAGCTGGAACATGGGGAAAAAGTGAGGAAAATGCTGGTGGGTGTTGGATGATGGCAGTAAGCACAAGGACCCAACCCAGCAGGGTTCTTCAAAGTGCATGAGGCACAGGGGCGGCAGCCCTTGGGCCCCGGTGTGCTGGAAGGATGGCAGAGATGCAGGGGCAGGAGAAGGGAGAGATGCCACCACCTCCATGGGGCAGGGGCACCGGCCCCGGGGCTCGCTGCAGAGCCTGTGCCGTGCTGGCCGTGGTTCTCAAGCACAGCAGAAGGCAGGAAGGATGCTGCTGCCGGTGCCAAGGACACGCTCGGAGCGGGAACAGCAGATCCCTGGCGATGAAGATCAGCAGACCTGGGAAGCAGCCGTGCCGCCGCTGCCAGCACAGAGGGAGACAGGCGAGCGGGTGGGTGGCAGGAGCAGCACTGCCGAAAGCCAGAGGGGCCTGGAATACTGGAGAAGGGACACGGACGAGGGCCGGGGAAGAGGGCAGCCGGCAGCTGGGTAGAGTGGCCGGCTGGAGAGAGCAGGCCTGACGTGGCTGACACCAAGATGTCGGGAGAGGATCCTCAGCTGCATCCCTGCTTCCTACTTCAGAAGTTTCCAGCCCTTTCTCTCATGAGAAGTTTCCCACCTGAATGCTCTTTCCAGCTCCCCTCATCCTCCGCACACCTTCCAGTGCCCACCCACTCGCTCCATCACAGCCCACGCTGCTCGGCCAACGCGCCCGGCCCCGCTGCTGCCAGCTCCAGGGATGGGGATCTCCATGGCTGAGCTGGTGCCGGTGTCCCTGTCCTCTCTGCAGCCACCCCTGCATGCTGCAGCAGAGCCCGGGCACAGGAGGAAGGCAGAGCTGCCGGCATTGCTGCAGAGTCAGGTTCTCCTGACCAGCTCCGAAGTTTTGCCTCTGGTGCAAAAGCTCCAGGATTAGCAAACTCAGGCAGGCAGGAACCTGGAGCTGCACTCCCCTGGGAGCACAGAGAAGCAAAGCCCGGCAGGGCTGAGCCCATGTGGGCTCATCCGAACAGCCACAGCGATCCCGCGGGTGCCCCTAACACTGCCCCGTCACTCCAGGGCCACCCCGGTTCCTACCTTCGCTGGTGGTGGCCGAGAGGCAGGCAGCCAAGGTTATGACGATGGAGAGCGAGGATGTCAGATCTCCCTGTGCCCATGCCATGGTCCGGCGGGGGCCACCAGCGCAGGGCCACCTCGGTTGTCCCAGCACCTCTGCGAGCGAGCTGCCTCTGCCCGGAGCTCCGGCAGTGGCCGGCAATGCAAAGGCACTTTGCGCTCATTGCTCGCAGCCACACGGGCGGGCGGCAGGGAGGGAGCAGCCTGCCCGTCACCGCTCGCAAGCCAATGGGCTGGGTGGGCTCTGCAGCGAGCCCCCCTTCCCGCGCCACACGCGCTCTGTGCCCGGAGCCGGGCTGGCCCGGGCTCCCGCTGCCCGCTGTCCCGCAGCCCCGCCCGCGGGCGGCTCCCACAGCCCCCGCTGTCCCGCACCCCGCCCTCGGGCTGCTCCGAGAGCCCCCGGTGCACCGTGTGCCCCCCGGCCTCGGGCGGCTCCCACAGCCCCCGCTGTCCCGTGTGCCCCCGTCCCGCTCCGCTCTCCTCACCGGCCGCAGCCAGACACAAACTTGCGGCGCTGAGGGGAGCCCTGCGCTCGGCCGGGGTCAGGTGTGAAGGGGATGGGGTTACCCGTCCCTCCCGGTGTGCAAGGAGAGGAAAACCCCTGGTAACTGCTGCCCTTCACCCCCATCCCGATGCTTTCCGTGCCACATCCTTGTGGGACAGACACTCTGCTCGCAATTGACCTGTGGCAGTGGGAGCAGGGGGCAGCGCACGGGGCTCACAACGCGCTGTTTGCTGTCACCTGACGGAGGGTCAACCCTCTCCGAAGCAGTTTGGGAAGACACAGCAATTGTGCCAAGGCAGAAAGGCTGGGCACTGGGCAAGGGTGTCCTGGGACAGGCTCCTGGGATTACCCAGGAAACACAAAGCATCCTTCCCACAGCCTCTGCATCCCTCTTGCTTGGAGCCACCAGAATTGCCAAGCCAGGTGAGTACCTTGCTCAGCATTAAACACTCGACATCTGTCAACAGACCCCCTACAGCCACCGCTGCTTCCCCATCTAAATGCTGAACAATCATTAATACCTGCCCGTGGTAACCACAGATGCTGACTCCCATCCACGCCACGTGCAGTGACTCATTTTCTCCTTCATGCACTTGTGGCCAGTGCATTGTGACTGCAGCTCTACCCTGCCCCAGGAGCCACCCCTGGGCAAGGCACACAGGGCAGGATAGGCATCTCTTCTGTTGCCTGTCAGGCCATCTCTTGGAAATGGAGATTTGCTCAGTGGGGACAGGGAAGGAGAGGGGTGCTGCACACCCTCCATGCCACTCTGTGCACCCTGCATGTTCCCTGGAGATGCTAGAGCCCGTGCTGGGGCACCCCATGGTGCAGCTTTCTGCGTGGAGGAGTGAGAGGAGCTCCCTGCCCGCCTCCCAGCGTGTAGTGGCAGTGATTTCTCACTGAGAATGGATGAGGGCTGTACCTGCAGGGACGTGTCTGCACCACTCATCACCAGGACCTGGGAACAGCACAGAACCTCGGGTCCCTCCAGGCTGTGTACCCTGCCTGCCTGGGAAGCAGGCAGTGCAGAGACAGTGCTGGAGAGATCCTGTCATCAGCAGGATCACAGGATGGGCTGGCAGAGTGCTCAGGCGGGGACACAGCCGTGCCTCAGGGGACACCAGGCACTGCCAGGGCAGCTGGCAGAGGCCGAGGGGGCTGCCAGGTGACAGGTACAGCTACACAGGGCACTTTACATGGATCTTGGATCAAAGGTCAGGGCTGATGGCCTCCAAAATCACAGCAAGCCACCAGGAAGCCCCCCATGATGCCACAGTAGTTGCACCCCTGCAGCTGGTGGGAAAGCAATTTTTCTGCCAGCTATCACATTGCTACTCTGACCCAGACATTTCCATTTGCTGAAAGGGCTTGTCACAGCTCAGTGCTGGATCATTCAGCTCTCTGTCCCACCGGCCCAAGCAGAGCCAGGCATTCCAGAGGGATGATATTCACACTGCCACCATCTGCCTGGCTCTTTTGAAACCCCCCTGGAGAGCTACCTCCAGCTCTGGTGCTCATCTGGAGAAGAGAAGGCTCTGGGGACTCCTTATAGCCCCTTCCAGGGCCTAAAGGGGCTCCAGAAAATGGACTTTGGAGAAGGGATGGAGTGATAAGGGGAAATGGCTTCACACTCATACAGGGCAGGGATGGATGGGATATTGGGAAGAAATTCCTCCCTGTGACTGGCACAGGGTGCCCAGAGCAGCTGTGGCTGTCCCATCCCTGGGAATGTTCAAGGCCAGGCTGGGTAGGGCTTGGAGCAACGTGGTCTGTTGGATATGGGGTGGAATGAGATGGTCTTTAAGGCCCCTTCCAACACAAACAATTCTATGATTCTGTGATCTCAGTCCCAAACTCTGGATAAAGCTCTGGGGAGGCAGAAGCCAGCGTTGGCCTTCCAGCACTGAGTGATTCCACTCCCAGTGCCATGCCCCCAACCCTGCAGACCTTCAGCACATCCCAGCTACCCACATGGGCTCTCCAGTCCCCTGTGCCCTCCCAGCCCCATGTGTGACAGGACTGTGGGTCCTCTGGGGCTTGCAAAGGGGCCAAGAGCCAGCAGCTGTTGCTTGTCCCCCCAGGTTGGGCTTTGCTCTTCTCCAGGACTGCAGAGAAGCTGTGCTGGCTGTCACACACTGTAGAGCAGCTTTGTAGGAGCCAGAAATGCCCTGAAATCCCTGGCAGGGCATGGGAGGCCTCTCAGATACACTGTCAGCTCTGGGGAGAGGGGATGGGGGTAATGGGATGCCTGCAAGCAGAGGTGGGTGCAGCAGGGAGAGGGGTCAGTGTGAACTCTGTGCCACAACACAGTGCACACACACTGGGCACAGAAGGGCTGTGGGGGTAGGGACAGACATTCTGCTTTCTCTGGACACTTGGTTTTGTGGTCAGGATGTGCCTTGAGTGCGTAATCAATGCATGTGCATCGAGGCTGGGCACTGTCAGGGGTGCTGGAGCTGGTACAGGACCAAACACTTTTGGGATGCTCCTGGCTGGGAATGCAGATCCCTTCCACGCCAGGATCCATGTGCAGCCACAAGGGGTGGTCACAAGGTGTCCCAGGAACCCCAAAGAGAGCAGGGAACAGAAGCATGGAGGGCATCACACCAGGATCCCCATCCCTGTCCCCACCTGCAGCTGTCCCCAGGCTCCCATTCAGCTACCTCTGGCCTGAGCCCAGCTGCCTCCCCCTTCTTGCTGAGTGCTGCTGCCTCCTCTCCTTGATGAGTCTCTGGCCACGTCCCTCAGCCATGGTCCTGCACCTGGCTGTCACTGAGATGGGGAGGATATTTATAGATGCAGCAGGGAGAGGAGAGTGCAGCTCAGACAGACAGATCAGCAAAGGGGGGAAGCAGGCCTGGGTTTACCCCCTTTCAGCAGCTCCCATGTCACTGTGCATTCACCAGCGAGGCCACAGCCTCCTGGGTAACTTGGTAGCTCTAACCTGAGTGGTTGCTGCCCTTTGCATCCAGCTTTGCACCCAGGGATTGCCCATTGCAGCCCTGAAAGAGCAAATCTGTGCCTGGACTGAGGAGGGCAACCCTGCCTCTGGTGTTCCAGCACTTCTCCAGCACGTCCAGGCACTTGTGCTCTCCTGTAGCATGTGCAGGGCCATGTGCCTTAGGGTTAAGGCTGGTAGAGACACTACTGGCAGTCATCATGGGAACAGGACCATCTCCACACCCATGCCATTCTGGGTTGGGGCACCAGCAGAGCCAGGACTCGCTGCTCCAAGCCCTGCAGAGAAGGAGATGCTCAGGGCAGAGACAGAGCCGTGGTGCAGGTCTCCATAACCCCTGACACCTCTTCATCCATCTGTCCCCAGCTGTACATCCCTTTCTGAGGAGGAGGAGACAGGATGGGACATGGTGCCCTCACCCAGACCCAGTGCTCTTCCCGCTCATCAGGTGTCTGCAGAAGGACAAGGACAAGCTGTATATGTCCCTGAGCAGTAACAACACTGCACAGAGGTCCAGGATCTTCCCAGAAAAGCACTGATCATTGTCAGTAGGGGGACAGGACTCCTGGGGGACTTTCTCCACCCAAATAGCCTTAAAGTATGCTCCATCCATGTCTTGACCAGGCAACAGCCCTGAATCCAAGGAGCTTTAAAACCTGAGGTTCAAGAAGTCAGATTCCTACTGCCTTCCCCCCTATTCTGAGCCCTCCATTCTGGCTCCACAACAGAGCCCCAGAGGTCACAGGACAGAAGGGGGGTGCTGGACCCACGCAGGTGGGACATCCCCCTCTGCACCTCTGGTGGCTGTGGCATCCCCCAGTAACGTTTACATTTGATGCCCCAGTCTGAGCTGTCAGCAGGAATTCCCTGGGAGCTCCAGTGTGCCCCATGTTAGGATGCCAGTGGACAGCCCTTTAAACTGGCATCTGCTGCATAAACATGCTGACAAGTTCTCTACGTGCATGTAACAATTCACCTGAAGCAATCTGGGTGCTAAATCACTGTAATTCCTTGTGCTGTGTCAGGGCTGGGACAGATTGCTCAGCTGCGAGGCTGAGGATCACAGGGGCCATGTCTCACCTCCTCCCTGCCTCCTGGGCTGACTCAGGCTTTTTTCCTTTTCCAGTGCCTTGGGGTTTTACTTTTCCTAATGTGCCAAGATCCTTTTTCAGCCAGGTGCCTTCCCTGCTTGCCCAGTCCTCCCTGGGGTTCACGAGCATTCCCATCATTGCCTGGCCTCCTACCCAGGGGAGCAGCCATTCAGCCAGGACCTTTCATGAGATCCATGGCTGAAGATTGCCTCCAGTCCTTCAGCACAGCCAGGTGGAGGGTGCTGCTCCCTCCTCATTATCACAAGCAGGTGCCCAGGTTGTTCCATTAATGCCAGCAGAGAGGGCCAGCCCTTGGCATCACTCGTGATGAGGTACGACTGTGGGAACCACTGGCCAGCTGAGCAATCAGCACACAATTAATTCCGGTCAAGGCTGGGGAGGCTGGGCATGCCTCTCCTTGTCATTATCAGAAATGCTGTGAATTAATATCCTTTATATTAAAAAAAATAATCTCATCATAATTTTTTCCT